ACATCATCTGGCGATGCCTCTCCTGGCAAGTAGCGTCTCGCTGCCTGGACCAGCTCTTGCCTGACGACAAACCCTTCCGGTAGGAAAAGCTATAAAGGACTGGCGATGGAGTCTTCCTGGCTCTCACGTGGCCCTCGGCGCTGCCTCCTGGCTCACCCCTTCCTTCCCGGCCCCCCAGGGGTGGCTGCTTATGGGTGGGGTGGGGTGGGGGGAAGAGCAGAGGACAATATTTTGCCAAAATAATTTTTGTGCGTAGATGCAAATACGGAAACGAGTATGGTCACCGTGAGAGAAACAGTCCATCTCCCCATTGCAGAGGAGCTGCTCCCAGGGACCTGCCATTGTCCTGCCTGCCAGTGAGTGACAGGCCTTAAACCTGGGCTAGGCCTGAGTGTCCTTCAAAGAGAGGACTGTCCTGTGCTGGCCCTAACCCCAGCCCTGCCCACAGGCTCCCACAGGTGGCCAAAACAGGCAAAGTAACGGAGCCTCGATCCTCTGCCAGCTCTGTGCTGAACCCGGCTCCTTTCCCATAGCTGCTTCCAAGCAAACCGACTTCCATCCTTCCCCGCTGGCTGGCTGCATCCCTCTCTGGTAACCACGGTTACATGGGCCAGGCAATTAATTGCCCCTTCAGCCTGCAGCTGTGGGCATCGTTAACACAGTGGCGGCAGCAGGAGAGGAATTAGAGATAATTATAAGCTGGGTGGCGCCCCAGCTGCAGAGGGGAAGCCCCACCCAGGCGAGAGGGCCTTCCAGCTCCCTGCAAGCGCTTCCCGAAGTTCCTTGCAGAAAGGCTGCTCCTGCCTTTCCCCACCTGCCGGCGGAGGGGCTGCTCCTGTGGGGACTCTCCCTGCTTACGCAGAAGGTAAGCCCGGCCTTTTCACTCTGTGTGCAATCAGGACAGGGGCCCAGATGGTTTCTGAGGCTTTTGTCCCCATAGGTCCTTCCTTCCCACTGGCTCACACTTGAGTCTTGCTGCCTGAGGGGTCCCCCCCCCCGTTGAAATCAGATGCCCCCCTCTCTCCTATCTACACACCCCCTGTTACAAATAGCCTCCTTTAAATGCATTCCCAAAGAGAGACTTTAGAGCATATGTAAATTAGCATAGACAGAGCTGTGTTTTTTTCCTGTGGACCTAAACCCAGGATCCTTCTGGTCCCTCGCACCGTCTTGGACAGGGTGGAGGTCCAATCCATTGCAGGGTTCCTTAGAGCTCCTCAGTCTGCTTCTGCATTCTCCAACCTGATGCCCTCCAGGTGGGCTGGGTTACCCCCGCCCCCCCCCCCCCCCCTGATGCTGGCTGGGGACAATGTACCATGAAGCACATTGGTGGAAACCAGCCCATTTTCAGGTTTGTGTAGGTGGGGGCTGAGCTGGTAGGAACTGACCAAGAAAGAGATCTTGGGGTTTTGGAGGACAGCTTGATACAGTTGTGAAGCTGCAGAGAAAAAGGCAAACTCTGTACTGGGCAGAATGGGACAGGCACTGAAAGCAAAGCTGCTGGGATCATACTTTCCTGATAAACATCTTTGAAACGACCATCCTTGGGGTTCTGTGTACAGTTCTGGTCACTGCATCTACAAGGGAGGAAGCAGAGTTGGGAAAGGGGTGCAGACGAGCAACAGAAATGATCAAAGGGCTGGAGAAAGCTCCAAAAGCACACTGGGACCCGTGGCAAACTGTAGGGTTCTGGGGAGACAGGGAAGCCCTCGGCCACTGCTGCACCTCTTACGATGCTCAGATGACACGGCTCTCTGTGTGCTGTGGGAATCATGAGGCCCATCATGTGGTGTGTGATCCGCACGCATACGTGTGTGGGAGCCACTGTGGCTCCAGTGACTGGGCAAACCCAGCTGACATCTTCAACATGACTGGGCCAGGTTGTCCAAGGTACAATACGTACCTTAAATGTTGCCATTTTGCTGTGTCCAAGGTACAATACCTTGAACGTTGCTGACATTTTGCAGAGCAATTTTATTTCCTTTTTTAAAAACATTCTCAGTGTTGTGCAGTGCAATGTTATTTACGGCCCTCAAGGAAGGAAATTGCTTTCTGAGATGCCTCAGGCTTATTAAAACCTTTTCTAGCACCTGAGAAGATTTTCTCTTCTGTTTTCGCATGCACGTGCTCCCCGCCAGACACCACATGTAGCCGTGACTGGTTTTTGCTTCCTGATTGCAACCTCTCTGCACACACTGAGCCAGGGTGGCCGCTTCTGAATTGCTCCAAAAAGAGGAAACGCAGAAAAAATTAGAAAGGGGGAATGTGGGCAGCATTTAGGTCGCATTTGCATGCGTTCGTGCGTATGCAGAGATGCAAACAGAAAAATAATCACCATTTAAATTTAGGTACAGTCAACCTTGTGATGTGGAAGATGATGACCCCCCCCCCCCAGTGTGTGTGGCTTCCTGCTGGTGGGCTGCTTCAGAGCCCCTGACCTGCTCCTCCTCCTCGGGGTTCTCCAGCTTCCAGCTGGGCTCAGGGCAGGCTCTGCACAAGATCACACCTGGCCACCTGCAGGGGCTGCCGTGTGCGTAAAGGCTTCACCTGTGGCTTCTGTGATTCCCCTATCGAGTCCTTAAATGTGTTGTCGCTGTTTTCATGGAGATGGATTTTACTTGCAGTTTTGTTCTTTTGTGACCGAAACGATTGCGTACCACCTTAAAATCCCAGTTGGATGAACTGCAGTGTGTGTGTGTGTGTGTGTGTGTGTGTGTGTGTGTGTGTGTGCACCCTCTTTTCTTTATCCTATTTGGAATGCAGGATTCACACACACATACACACACACACACACACACACACACACACACACGTACGTACGTGTAATAGAAACAACTAGGACTGACTAAAAAGATGTGGCCGCTCCGTGCTCCGCACTGTTGACCCGATGCAGAGTGAGGCCAGCTGTGCACTTCCACATAGTGTGGGATTCCAGCTGCCATCAGCCCCAGCCAGCAAGACCAATGGCCAGGGATGCTGGGAGATGAAGTCCCACAACACCCCCAAAGCCGCAGGTTCCCCAGCCTAGCACCTAAGCAGTGATTGTGGAAGCTTCTGAGTGAGCACCGCGGGACCCCTTGCCGAATTCTGGCGAAGGCGCAGCTTGCAGCGATGGGGCGGAGGACCAGTTCCAGGGGCACTTGGTCCATGGGCCACCTGCAAGGGCCTGCCCTAAACTCCAGCCCCGTCCTAGTTCTCCCTGGCTTTCACGTGCAGCATTGCTGGGATCGTTTGGGCTCCCGGGAAAGACCGGCATGGCTGGACAAGTGGCTTCCACGCGATTTCTTGGTCTCCTCCTCCCCCCTGTGGTCAAAGGGGATAAGTGCAGGTACAGCAAAATACGGAAGAAAGGCTGGCAGAGAACTGATCCTTGAATGGCCTCCCCAAGGGAGATTAAACATCTCGCTACCAAGCAGCGACATTCATGCATTTCAAAATGCCAGCGCAGCCTATCTGCAAACATAGCTGTGCCCCTTGTACTCTCTCACGGAGTGGTTCTGCGGAACATAGAAATAGCTACGATAATTGTATGTCTAATGCATAGACTTGGTATATTACAAACTGTGTCTTACAAAAGGAAGACCAGAGCAGCCTTCCTTGACCTAGTGCTTTCTCAATTTTTGGACTACAGCTCCCAGCATCCCTGTCCACTGAACATGAGAGCATAAGAACAGCCCTGCTGGGCCAGACCCAAGGCCCATCCAGGCCATCACTCCGGACACACAGTGGCAAACCAGCTGCTCACGGGATCCTCAAGCGGGATGGGTGCAAGGCCTCCCCCTGCCCAAGCTCCGCAGCGAGGCTAGGCTAGTAGCCTAGGCTAGTAGCCGGCAAGGCTAGTAGCCATGCTCTGTCCTTCTGTGAACCTGCCCGATCCCTCTTGAAAGCCACCCGGATCGGCGGCCATCCCCACTTCCATGGCAGCGAATTCCATCATTCAGCTATTCGCTGTGTGAAGAAGTCCTTCCTTTCGTCTGTCCTAAACTCCCCCCCAGTCAGCTTCATGGAATGACTCCGGGTTGGAACGTTCGGGAGAGGAGAAAGACGCCTCCCTCTCGACGTTCTCGGCCCCGTGCATGATTCTGAGCACCCCACCGTGTCTCCCCTGCATCGCCCTAAGCGGTACAGACGCAGCGGCTGTGGCCACTCCTCGCAGGGGAGCCGCTCCAGCCCCCAGATCCTTTTTTTGCCCTTCTCTGGACTTCCCCCAACTCAGTAATGCCCTTTTTCAGGTAAGGCGACCAGAACCGAACACAACATTCCAAGTAGGGTCGCACCAAAGATTTGCATAGAGGCAGTGAGATTTTATTTATTTATTTTTATTTATTACAAACATTTGTATCCCGTCCTTCCGACAAGCGCTCAGGATGGCTTACATAGTATAAAATTAGAATAATACAATAATAAAAGCACAAGTATTAAGACCATAAAAAACTGAACATGTGTTCAGGAAGGAAAAAAATAGAAAATAGATTTTGGCAGTTCTATTTTCTCCTCTGTTCCTAGTTATTCCCTATTGGCTTGGGGTGATGGGGATGGCAGTGCTGTGCCTCTAGAGGGCACCAGGTTGGGGAAAGCTGGACTAACTGGAGTGGACACCACTCATGGGATGTTACCTTGGATCCTTTCAGAATGCAGGAAGGGCTCCAATGACCCCACCCATGTATTCAAGGAAGATGGGTGGGCTTCCAGGCATTTGGCCCTACTAACCCTTTGGCCAGGGGACACATGCTCTGCGATTGGTACAGAGATCCTGACAGATGCATGGAGACCCCCGAGGAGAAGGGAAAACACGCGATAGCAGGACCCGCTTTCCCCACCATCTGCAATTGGCTCCTTCCTGTTGCCCAGCTCACTCTTGCCTGCTCCCTTCTCTTCCTCCCCACAAAACAGTTCTTTGCTCAGCTGCACAACCTCCCCTTCTCTGGATTGGGGCCCGCCAGACATCTGGGACTGCAACTCGCATTCTTCCTGAACCAAGGCCCTGCTGGCTGGGGCTGATGGTCATTGCAGTCCAAGAGCACCTGGGAGGGACCAGGTTGTGGAAGAGCCACCAATGGTGCTCAAGAGGAGAGAACCTGGACTTCTGTGATGTCACACTCAAGGGATTCTCCAAGGTGAGCCTGCGGATGGCACAAGACATCACCTTGCTCCAGTTGTGAAGGTGGTGGATTGATTCCCACACGGCAGGTCAATGGAGCCACGTCGCAAGAACTCTATGGTGAGACTTGATCACTCAGAACGCCTCTGAATTGTACTCCATCTTCTAGCCTTACCTTTACTGCCATTTTCACTTTTAATTATTATAGTTTATTAGACTTTTATGCTACCCGATAGTCAAAGTTTTAATGAAACTTTCAATTTTCAAACAGATGGCTTTAGGCATAACAAATGGATAAATGTATGGATATTTGGGGTGCCTTCATCAAAGCATTTTCTTAATTCTGGTTATTAATGTTAGTAAATTGTAGGATACACAATATAAACTTAATCTGAGCTATGGATCTTTTTCTTTTCCTTAAATATTGAACCTAACAAAGATTAGTAAAATTCTCAAAGTTCACTATGAACTGAACTATGAAACAGCAAGAAACTGACATTTCTGGATCCATCCATCCTCATTTCTCTCCTGCCTTCTTTCAATATATGTCTTTCTGTGAATTCCAATAAGATCAAACCAAAATAAGAAACCTGAAAAGAAAAAGAAATAAAAACCAAAATGCAGCTTTCTACATGCAATTCGAATAGACGGATTGGAGTAGATGCCCATCCATGTTATGCCAAAAGAGGGGGATAGTCCTTTCCATAAACGCAAGCAGATCAGATACCCATGAATCCCTGCATGCACAGGTAACACCTGAATGCCGCCTGTTCCAAAGTGGGAAGCATCCTTGATAGAGCACCCTTTTCCCCTCGGCCAGATGCATGGCAGCCCCCAGAGGTGCAGGCTTAGGAGCTTGCGGCCAGGCTGCAAGGCCCGTCTGCTCCACAGCCCCTGCAAGTTCTCTGGATGGCCACTTCCAGGCATCTCGATTCAGGGCCAGGGAGGGGCAAAGAAGGTGTCTGGGGCACCAGATGGAACTGGTGCAGCTCCACAGCCCAGCTCAGTCCTTCCCGGTCCCTGCAAGGCCCAGTGGTCACCATGGAGGGAGGAAGCCAGCATGCATCTTCCCAAGCAGGCTATGAAGGGGAGCAACCCGTCCTCCCCAGGTCCTGTGCTGGGGGGTTGTGAGATTGCACCCTCGGTCCACCTCGATGCCTACTCCTCGATTTATTTGCAAACACCCCAGCGGGGGGTGGCTGGAGGCGGGTGGCACAGCACACCCAGCCCGCCCGTGTGCCTCTCCTTGCTGCTCCCCAAGGTACACGTGCTCTATTCTGCCCGCCAGGTGCAAGAAACAGCGGGACGGCTGCCCTCTGGGGAGCAAGAGATAGTCGAGATCAACTGCAAGGACATCACCCGCATCCAGGTACGCAGCCTTCACTCTTCCCTTCTGCATCTCTCTTCAGGCATTGCTTCGCTGTTTGCTTCTGGCGTAGGGGCTTCTCTACACAAGCCGTCTCTTGAGTGTGCACAGTCCGCTCTGTCACAGACGTTTGCAGGCCATTTCACAACCTTATCATCCTCCAGGGCCTTTTCCATGTTTGCATCATCGTCGTCGCCGTCGTCAATATCCTGCAGTTAGAGGTTTCATGCCCCTAGTTTAAAGTGCGCAGTTTTGCATGTGCAAAGGTCTCCAGACTGTGCCACAAGGACCACCCAGACCAGCTCAGCACAGTGCAGAGTTCAGCTCCTCACCGAGGCTCAGGAGGACTAGCCTGTGACTCAGAACCGCGCAGGCAGCTGCAACAAAACCGATGATGGCAAAGCACCAGAAGGGCGGGGGGAGGACAGTACAGGCAGTCTGTGCTGAAGGAACTGAGCATTTAGGTTCGGATGTGGAAAGTGCCTACCCCTTTTGAGGATGGGACTCATTTAGGCAAGGACTGGACCCACAATCAGCCAATCGACAGGAGGGCATGCACACAAAGGCAGGGCAAGGAACTGAGGAAAGTGAGCCAAGCCACGTATACACATGGCCTGGCCTGGGAATGTAGCATCTGGAGAACGTGGATCCGTTGTATGGATTAGGAACCCTGAGATGAGTGGATAACGTGCCCAGGACAAGCCACTGAAGCTGTGGCCAAGCCCTCGAGGCCCAACCACCCACAGCCCCGGACAGGGTCCAGCTTAGAAGCTGAGTTCGGGGGGGTCAGCCATGGAACAGCTGCAGTTCTTTGGGCTACCCAACAGCCCTGCGGTTCTGCTCTGTCCCCCAACAGGATGACTGGGACGTGGAAGAGTTCCTCTCGAAAACGTGCATGGGAATCTTTCTGCATCACCCAGCCTTCAAGATTTTGCTGGCCAGCTTCATCATCATCAATGCAATCACCATCGCTGTACGGACAGATCCCACGCTAGAAGAGGTTGGTTTGCTGTGCTGGTCAGGGCAGGATCGCCGGGTCATTTGCTGTGGACGAGAGAGAGCCAGAGCCTGACTCTGACTTGGCGCCCTCTTCCTTTTGTGTTTTTCTTCTCGGTGTCTCTGCCCACACCTCTTCTGGGCACCTCCTGATGCACACTGGCATCCAGGCACACCTGTGCTCCAGACACCCAGGTGTGCATTACAGCATACTCTGAAAGGCCCCTTACTCATTCAATATACATTGAACTAAGACTCATAGGAGGACTTTTTAGCATCACTAGACTTGATGCATTTCATTATGTTTAATTGTATTGGTTTTATTTATTACATTTCTAAAGACCAGGGTCAAAGTTTTCTGGGTGGCAGAAAGGCACAACCAGAGAATCTAGGATCAGGAAATGCAGAATCCAGAGAATCTAAAATTGTGAGCAGCCCTTAAGCACACCGAGGGGGGACCAGTCACACCCCTTCAGCTGCTGTCTCAGGGCTTGCTTTTGTCATGAAAGAGGCACAATTCGCTTGCTTCTTGGTTGCAAAGGAGTGAGGAAGGGCAAGGAAGAGGAAAAAGAAGTGGATCTAAGTTGTATGCCCCTAAGGAGATGAGCCAGACTTGATCACCACCCCCCCACCCCACCCCCCCCACCCCGTGCTTGGAAGTATGCAGAGTTGTTCCTATTAACCAACACAAATTTCAGATGTTGATGGAAACAACAACAGATTCAGATAAGTTTGGATTTTTATTAATCTGGCCTGCAGATTCCACAGTCTTTTCTGAGTCCCCGTTTTAGATGCTGCTTGCTACGTGGAAGTTCTTCTTAATACATGCATTAAACATAAATATGAATCTACTGCCCAATTAATTGGGCGAACCTTTGTAATCATTTAAAAACTTTAGAAAAATCATTCTAACCAAGACAACTGATGAAACTTTGCAGCCATAGAAAATACCCAGGCTGTGATTCCATGCATTAGTACTGTGGCATAATAAGTGCTTGAAGCTTGTATTCTTGGTTATCTGGCCCATCCAATTTTGCCTGTTTCACTGAAATGGAATCCAGCCATGGGCTACAAGAGGATCGGTGCCCCTGCATTAGGGGCTGACTAACGGATGCATTACAGTGATGGATGCATGAAACCAACCTGGGGAACTGCCTAGCTTGCTCTTCTCTTCTCATCTCTTCTTTTCTCTGTTGCAGAAATATTTTGGGCTGTTCTCTGTCATCGATACCATTGTCCTAGCTTTCCTCATCTGTGAGGTCCTCCTCAACTGGTACTATGGATTCATGTTGTATTGGAAGGTGAGGAGAGGGTGCCCACCATCAGCTGTTACTGCAGTGCCCGTCATGGCCAATTCCACTCCATTTCATACCACCTGATAGCTAAAGTCCTCAGGGCAGTTTACACCTTTAGAAGAACCCATCAGGCCAAACGCCACCTCTCAACTAGGTTCACCACCATGGGGCACCACAGATGGCTACTGTAAGGCTCGGAATATAAGCTGCAGTGGATTGGGATTCCCCACATAGGACTTGGGGGACTCCTGTGTCAGTGGAGCTCCTAATCCATTGCAGCTTTTCCTCCAAGCCTTCTGTGGGAGCCTGCCCTGATCAATAGGATGTGAGTTGAGGAAACGCTTTCATCTTCTTGCCTTGTGTTGAGCTGTACCTGCTTCATCCTGACTGCAGCTTTTTGCTCCCTGCTCCTGGAGCCTTTTTAAGTCTATTTTGCAAAGTGTCCCCAGAGAAACAGATGCAGCAGGGCTGCAGGGAAGCCCCCAGACCAGTGGCTGTTACTCTGCTAGCCTCTCAAGCGTCTCATGGAGGGACAGAGGACCCTGCTGTAACAGGTCACCTGTGGTCAGTGGTAGGGAAGGGGAGTCCCTGAAAATTGACTGGACATATTTCCCAGGAGCAAGGACCTTTTCTAACATGCCCAATTGCCAGAGATTATGGGAGTTGTAGTCCAGCAACAACCAAGGCTTGGAAAGGTGGTCTGAAGTATTTAGCTAACAAGGCTCGACCCCATATTTCTCACAGCCCTTGTTTTCATGCAGGATGGCTGGAATTTTATCAACTTTTTTATTGTGCTATTTCTGTTTGCTGGCTTGATTATTCCTGCACTGAACAACAAGACACTCTTCTACATGCTCAGGTAGGAATGGAGACCCAGCAGCCCCCACCTGCGTTGGTTCTCAGCAGTTGAGGGATCACTTAAACTCTTGCAGAGAGCACAAATCAGGCCTATGCTCCACACAGGATGTGCACCACCAGGCAAAATGCTAAAGGAATGTAAACTGTTCTGGAAGCTATACATGGCTACTGAATGGTATATAAAAGCAATCAATCGATCAATCGATATAAAGGGTGCGTTGCTCCGTGCGGAAAGCTGCAGGTTCAACCTTTGCTCAGTCCTGTTAAAAAGAATTGGAACGGATGTTCTCCAGTTTGGAAGCCTCGCACTTCTAATGTGGGTACATCCCTCCATGTTCCAGGCATATTGGTGGGTATGACAATTCACCAGCACAGACCACTTTAGTAGTGTGCTTGTTTTTTGTAAAAGAAACGTAGGTAAGAATCTGCATGAGAACCTGATGCACTGCTGCCAGCCAGAGTAAACAACACAGAAGACAGACAGCCCGCTCTAGTCCTAAATGCTATGCCCACCTCAGACTTGATACCCCCGCCCCCTATTCTTGCCTAGGTTGAAGAGGCAGGTTGCTTGTCAAACTGCAGGTGGGCCTCCGTGCGTGTGGCTTGGCGAGCCATTGCAGGCCCGCTAAATTAGGTTTTGTTGGCTGGCTGGCTGGCAGGGATTCCTTGGACCTGCTCTGGGTGGAACTGAATCATACCGAGAGGCATTTGCCGTCCCTCAAAGCCCTTCCCTGCCATCATTGGTCCCCTTCCCATGCTGAGAAGGGAGACCCTCACTGGAGGTCAGAGCAGGGGTTTCCGAATGCTGGCTGTTTCCTCTGCTAGCACCAAGCCTTCCAAGGGCACCTTACTCTTGCCAGTGCAAGTGGGTGAGACAGTTGCCTGGAGCGAATCCTTCAGAGATAGAAAAAGCAGGGAGGGTCCTGGGCAAAGCTAGAAAAATGAGATTTCGGGAAGAAGGTGAAAGCAGCAAATATTGCAGAAACTGTTCAGGTAGTTTAAGACGCTAACACACATCTTGGAGTGCTGCTTCTGTCTCTTGGTGGCTTGTGCTCCCTGCTTGGAGGATGGCAGCCCGGGAGTGGAAGTGCAGCCAAGCCCTGCCTGCACGGAGCTTTCCGCCTTCCCTTTCCTCACATTCCTTTCAGAGTCATGAGACTGGTGCAGGTTTGTACCTTGGTGAGTGGCCTGGCCAGGATGATCCAGGTGATCCTGCAGTCCATCCCCGACATGGCTAACATCATGATCCTGCTTTTTGCCATCATGCTGGTGAGACGCCTTCACCCACTTCCCCTCGAGTCACATCCCAGCGCTGGGGAACAAGCTCCTTCTGTGTGTCTCCACAATTCCTGGCCTCATGCCTCCCGCTGCTCTCTCTCGGCCTCTGTTTCACCCCAGCTGGGCACTCGGGTGGTCCGGAAATCTGCATGATGCTGCGACACTGTGGAGCGTCAGGGTCGCCCATGTCAAAGCTGAGGGCTTTCCTGGAATCCTGACACACAGAAGCCAGATTCACACATGCATCCCCGTCACTTGTTGGTCTGCGTGTGTTCACAGGCCCCTGCAGTTATAACATGGGGATGGATGGGTTTGGAGGGCCGGGTTGCCTCATGGCAAACAGTTAGTCTGTAAGCTCCTGCTAGGTTGCCCGTCTGAGCGGGACAGTGCCACGTGGTGCCCTGCAGCAGCAGGGGTGGGACCCAGTGGCCTTCAGGGCCCCTTCCAGCTCTGCTGTTCTGTGGCTGGGGGAGGGACTCGTCCTCTTCTCCTGCGCAAAGCTCATTGGCGCCACGGCCCTTTCCGTCGTTTCAACATCGTTTCACCCACCATGCTTTCCATGAGCGCCTGGTCTGAAGCAAAGCATCAAACCACCTCACTCAGTGCAATGCCTTCCAGGTATTTTGGAGAACTTGCCGCCTGCCAGTCAGCATGTCCAGTGCCTAGGGATAATGGACTTTGTAGTGCAAAGTATCTGGAGGACACCATGTTTGGGAAGGCTGGCACAGAGCAATCAAGCGAGGGACAGCATGTTGCAGTGGGTAGGGCAGGTGGACGGTTCGCATCAGAGCTGACTGCAGGCCCATGGAAGGCCTCTCTGCCAACCGCTGGAAACATCCGCTTGCTCCTGCTGCCTCTGCACAGGCGCCTTCTGAACAGGTCTCCTCCTGCATGTAGATCCAGTCTTGGGTTTCTCAAAGGGCCCCCTCTCACTGTCGCTTGGTGGTGGAGCATGTGCCTGGCAGGCAGGAGGCCCGAGGGTCAGTCTCTGGCATCTCCAGCTGAAAGGATCAAAGTAGTCAGTGGTGAGGAGAGCGAACGTGGATCCTGGGCTGGGTGAACATGTCCCCCAACCAGTGCTATCTGACTGCTCCCAGGCATCTCTGGGAATTGCACTGCCTGCTCTCAAATGCCCAGGAGGAGCACCAAGGGTGAGGGGCACTGGGGCATCTCCTCGCTTGCTGGACACCCTCTTCCACGCATCTTTTTGCAGGTCTTCTCTGTGTTCGGCGTGACCCTTTTTGGAAGTCTTGTTCCAAAGCACTTTGGGAACCTGGGGACTGCTCTGTACTCTCTCTTCATCTGCATAACCCAGGATGGGTGGGTCAGCATCTATGACGACTTCGAGTGAGTACCTGGATTCCCATGTTTGGCTGCAGTAACAGAACTCGCCCAGACCAGCCACAGACACTGCGCATGAATGAGGACGGGGATTAAATACATGAGGCTCTGAAATGCCACGCGTGTTGGGCGGGTGGGGCTCTTTAGCTCACCTTCAAGCCTCTCTGGGATCAGTGCTTTCAGATGTGTCCATTGCAAACGTAGCGGCTGGGACAGCCATTTTGTCCTGGGAAGCAACATCTCCCCAGGAAGGGACTGTGGCTCTGAGCCACCCTCTGTGGTCACAAAAGTTCCACTGATGATGGAGATTCCTTGTTCCTCTGCAGAAATGAGGGCCTTGCCCTGCAGATCGGTGGGGCACTCTACTTCTTCATCTTCATCACCTTCGGAGCCTTCATCTTTGCCAATCTGCTCGTGGCTGTGGTGACGACGAACCTGGAGCAGTCTGTGGCTGCGTACAAAGAGGAGAAGCACCTGCAGGCTCATGACCCGTCCACAGCAGCCTATATTGGTCTGGATGTGAGTGATGGATCCAGGGACTTAAGAGGGAGGGCAGAGGGCCATATAAAGGTGGATGATCCTAAATTTCCACGAAAAAAACCCCAAAAACAGTGTGCACTGCCAAAATAGAGCATTAGCCAAAATGTGCTACTGCTGATGTCTGGGTGCATGTGGATAACCAATTCTCCTAATGTAACTGGACGCATGGTGTGTCCCACCATAGGACAAGAGACGGTGTTGGCTGGCCTGCTCACTCTGCCCTCCAGATGCTGATGTGCTGATCTTTCTCTTTAAACTGGAACTGTAGGGACAGGCCTCCTAACAGGAGGTGGCCCTGTAGCAGCTCTTCAAACAGAGGACTGTCCTCTGTAAAAGAGGACACATGGCCACCCTGGCAGAACATGCAGATTTTTTGGCAACATGTCCTTTACGAATCTTTGGGCCCAGTGAATGGTTTGGGAGCGTGGCTGTTTGCTCTCTTTGACGGGAAACCAATGGAAATGAGGCACGTGAATTTTTGGACAAGCCTGAAGCAAAACACATTCACATACTGATGTGGAAATGGAATGAACTAAACATAATATTGGAAAGATGAGAGACTGACAGGGACTAAAATTGGTACTGGACCTTTGTGCTTTGGCCCATGGTGCAATTGCAACCAGGAAGACAACATGGGAGAGATCTTCATATCACAGTCTCAGATTCTGGATCCTAGTAGAGCAGATCAGAGAAACTGCCCCTCTTGGTCCAGGGACTCTGGGGTACAAGTGGCCAAGCTCCCAGGGAGCAAGAGAACAGGGAGAGCAAATCGGTGGTGGAGTTTAGTGGGGCAGGTCCCTAATTTCCCCTCTTCTTCTTTGTCCCCCCCCCCCCCCCCCCCGCCACTTTGTTTTCTTCCTTGTAACCCACTCCCATTTACTGGTAGGACTGTGTTGTCAAACTTTTGTGCAGACAGGAGAAAGACAAGGGAAGAACGGGGGCTCAGCTGCTCAGTGTGGATGGCAGATGGGAACAGATGACAAAGAAAAGGCAGAAGTGCTCAGTTCCTACTTTGGCTCAGTCTTTTCCCAAAAGCTTCTGACAAAGTGCCCCAGGATCTCTGTATTTGCAACCAGCTAAAAGTGGGCTAGATGGAACAGTGACCGGGTGGATCCACAGCTGGCAACAGAATCGGGACTCCAAGGGTGCTCATTGGTGAGCCCTCCTCAAACTGGGGAGAGGTAACAAGAGGGGTCGCTCAGGGTTCGGTCCTGGGCCCAGTGCTCTTCAGGATTCGTATTAATGGTTTAGCTGGGGAAGTGGAGAGAACAGGTAGGCCAAGAACTTCTTTTGGTGAGGACCCTCCAGAAGATGATCGAACAGTTAGTGGTGGCAGGGAGAGAAGCAGGGTCCTTCTGTCTGCTGTGCACTTTCTTCTCTGCTGGCTGCAGTCCCTCCTGAGGCTTTCAGGCAGCTCCGTTGTGGGTTGCTTAATGTAATGGATTTTGCCACCTGTGTTGAGTCCACACAGGCCCCCAGAAGAACTGGCTACTGATTGGTGTGCCTGAGTCATTTGGTGACACTGGGACTCCCATGTGATACCTCCTAATTGTCTTTGTCCCCGAGCAGGATGGGACAGATGATGATTACCCGACAGGTGTGCCTGAACCTGTGCACTTGAAGGAGGTCATGCATGGGACACCCATGACCCATCATCAGGAGCTGCTCAGCTTTGGTAATTTGGGCAACCTGAACGATGCCACCTGTGAAGACCTCTGTGTTGTCCTGGAAGCGATCCACGAGAACCTAAAGGAATACCGGGTGATCCGGGATGAGCTTGACCAGTAAGTCAGTCCCTTTGCCCTCCTTGCCTGTACTCCCTAGAGTATGCAGCATGTTATTTCACTTCTTAAGATAGTTTTAAAAAGGATTTTAAAGGAAAACTCTGTGGCTGGCACGCTGCAAAGCCAAGGACTGCCCTCCAGCATCATCTGTATTTGGCTTCAAAGGAGTGTTTCCGTGCTTTGGAGCTTGGAGCCCGCCTCTGCTTTGCACTTTGGTTCCGGGACAAGTGACTTTCCTCTTCATCTCAGCAGTTTGTCTGCTGGGAAATGAGTGTTTTGCAATGGGCGACGCCTGTCTGAGCAGCCGGTTATGGATTGGCAAGCGCTCCCAAAGCAGCTATTTGCAGGAGTGCCCACGACCATCTCAGGGGTGCCCATCAACCCCAGATGCTTGGGGACCCGGTGCATGGGTGGAGAGGGGACTGCAGAGAACTTGGGGTAACCCCCGCTCAGTTACGCAGTGCTCGCACAGCCCAGAGTCTGGTCCCGTGGCAAGAGCCTGCAAGGCTGGGCTGAGTTGCCCTGCGAGGTGGTCTTTGCTTGCAGACGACTGTCTGGCCACCTCCGTCTTTTGTTGCCTGCCTGTGACTGATGAGCTGCAAGCACCAAGAGTTTGGCAGGATGGTAGGGGGTGGATGTTGCCCCTCAGGCCCAGTGCAGCCCTCGTGGCCCAGATCTTGCTCACCTGCAGTCCCAACCCCACCGACCAGGCTCCTCCAGAAAGCCATGTCGCCAGGTTTCCTGGCTGTTGTGCAGCTTCTTCCCCCACCCCCATTCTAAAAGGGCGAAAGCCCTCTCCTAACAGTTACTAGCAACAAAGTAAAACGTGCTGCTCTTTGGGGTGTATCTTTTCCTGTCCCTTTTACCTTCTGCCCACCCACCTCTAGAATGCTCCCCACAAAAGCTTCCCCCAAAGGGACTTCCACCCTCAGACTGAACGGGGTTCTGCACTGTGTCCGCACAGTGTTAGCTGCATCCGTTCCTCCTCAAGGAGACTTGCTGCCCAGGGTGTGAGGTGTTACCTGCTGGTGGAGCATATAGTCCAGGAAAGGAGTTGCCATCCTTCTTTCTTCTCGGCTTCAATCCCTGCAGGATCGTCCAAGAGGTGAGGTCCATCAGATTCAATATAGAGCAGGAGCAAGAGATTGTCTTGCGAAACATCCGTGGAGCCAACATCTCAGAAACCATGCTGCCCTCCGATATCATACAAGGCAAAACAGATGTCTTAACTGCACTGATGAACCTGGAGAAGGTACTCTTTGGACGGTGACGGATGGGGGCGTGTCATTCCACTGGTGGCGACCTAGATCAGCGTTGCTCCACTTCATCACCGCTAGGTAGCCCAGTGCCTTGAGCCATGGCTCTTCACTCTCCACGTTGGTCCAGATGTAGAGCTGATATGGAAGGCCAAGTTCCAAACATGGAGCTAAGAGAAACAGAGATGCCCAGTGGATCCTTCATGGAGCCAGAATGAAGGTGCAACCAGTGCCAGCTTCAGGATTTGGCAGGCCCTGAACAAGCCACCTGCAATGGCCCCCCTCAAGTCAGCATGCCCGCCTTCTCACTGCCATGGTCACCAGCTGTTCTTGAGCCTCATTGTCTTCCTCATCAGTTCGGTCATTGGCTTACCTGACAGGCAGAAAGACAGAGAGCAAGTAGACCATGGCAACGACTGTTTCTTTTCCTCACCACTCCCATCGTCTGAGCCAAAGCAAGAGGCAGACTAGGGCACAGGTGGAAATGGTGAAGAGGTGGAACAGTGCCGAGGGCCGTTGTGAGTGGACCTCTGCTGGAGTGCGGGCCCTTGGCAGGTGCCCAGCCCTTCCCACCAGCTCTAGATGCAGCTACACCCACGTGACCCAGGGGCAGCATGCTATGAAACACCATTTCTGGGGGATGCACGGCAGAAGTCATGCTCTGCAGTGGTGCAGCTATGGCTGGGCCTTGAAGCCCAAGTCCAAAGTCTCCATGCTCAAGGAGACACCCAATGAATGAGCTGGCATGTGATGAGATCATCAGAAGTCAACTCAGTTTTATTCCTGTAGTCAAGACAGTGCCCTAGTTTGAGTTTGAGTTTAAAACTACCGATGCTCAGAGTTTAATTTAGAAAAAGTTTGCAAAGCGTTTTGTCCTTGTTTTCAAATAGCAGCCATGTGGGAGCAGTTAAGCATGGGATGGTGGCTGGAGGGGAGGAGGAGAAATGTGAGTTTGTGCATCACAACTGAAGTCATCCGTGCATGGGTCTGAAGTCCAGATAAGGTCAGGTAGCCTTGCGTGGTGTGTGAGTGCAAGTCCAGCGGAAGATCTTGCCTGCTCCCGTTTCCCACCAGCTCGGAGACGGTGTCCCACTGCATGCTGGGCTGTCTCTTGTCCCACTGACCATCCTGATTTGGCTTTGTGACTCACAAAACACTCGCACGCTTTTGTCTGTGCGTACATGAACACACGTGCATGTGTGCCCAGGCCAGATTCCAGGCACCTCTGCCTCCCACATCTCTGCGGTCCCAGTCAGCAGTGGCAGACATGGTCTTCCTGGACCCTTGCCCACCCTTGCCCTTCCTTTGACAGTCGAACGCGATCGATGCGGAATACCAAAAAGGGGCGGTGAAGCAGGCAGCCTTGAGAGCCCGGAGACAGTCGCTGACGGTATGTACTGGAATGGCGGCCTGCACGCCTTTGGGCTCATTAACACAGTCCTTGGCACGAACGGGCGCTCCCACAGGTGGCTGTGGGATTTTTTCTCCCTTGTCCTGTCATGATACTCAGAAGCTCACGAGGCCTCTCAGCTTCCCTTGTTCACAGTAAGGTCAACAGTATGGATCGGGAGAGCACAAAAAGACCTAACATTTGGTTTGCGTATTCTAACTCAAGTGTGCAAAAGGTAGGTTTCCAGATGTTTTAGACTTCGGCCCCCAGCATTCCTGAGCATTGGTCATGCTGGCAGAACTTCTGGGAATTGAAGTCCAAATTGTTGCCGATCCCCCTTCTACATGCTCCAGTTTTAATATTGTGTTTCTTTTTCTTTGCACCACACAGCCGGAAGCATATGAAAGGTCTCATCGACAGAGTATGGTAAGAACCGGAGTATGGTAATGAATCATCAGCGTTGTTTTTCTGACTTGCTGGTTTACCCGCAAAGACCATTTTATTTAGACATTGGATGTGGGCCATAAATGGCAACCCAACTGGCTTTTGGGAATAACATGCAGGAATGACGGTATGAGAATGGAGCAGCAGTGGCCAAGATACTTCTTTGCCACCTAGAAACTCCTTCTTACCTGCACCGAGAAGCCAGAAGGATCTGGCCTTTTTCTCTCTCCTTAAAAACAGCACATACAAGTGGAACCTGGCAAGTGAATTCCCCATAATTTCACAGTAGGGGTGACTCTGAGTCACCCTTGAACTGTGGGAGAGGACTGTCCTTCCCCACCCAGTCCATGATGCTGTTTGGCCACCCAAACCATACTGGGCGGAAAGGCCCACAAAGGCATACAAGAGGCAGAATGCAGAGAAGCATCAACCCCATTCCAGACCTGAATCCTAACCCACTACTACTCCAGGAAGTGTTGTGTTGTTGTCTCCTTACTTGTTCTTGATCATCTTTGTGTTTTCTGCATTGTCTAGCCTGGAGGACTTCTGGACAAGAGCCACAAACGTCGGGAGAGTTCGGTAAGCCAGTAGAGAGCTAGTGTCATGTAGTTTTTAGAGAGTTAGCGTCTGAGGGAGCTCACCCCACAGAGAGGAGGAGGAGTTTGTGGATCCAGCAGAAGTTCAAACAGCAGGCTGAGCTTGGAGCCTCCCGTAAAACAACATGCCAACCTAATTAGCCTGCTGCACTGATTTACGGCTGGCTATAAATTAGATCTGCCGGAGCCTGCTTGTCGTGGCAAACAACAGAAACTGTTACCGGCTTGTTTGGCTCAGTTTAAGACCAATCGGATTCCTAGAGTTTTGGCTGGCTTCCTGGACATTCTCTTGGCCACCCCTGCCTGACTTAAACTCTGGATGCAGGAACCGTACAGCCTCGACCTTGGGCGTGAAAGCTAACACAAGGACGTGAGGTTTGTGGAGCAGGATAACGTGGTGGGTTGCCATGGCTCAGTGCAGCGGCCTGTGGTTTTGGGCTCTCCTCGGGGTCGTGGCCGCTGGGTCGAGCACCTGCCTTTCAGTGTTACCACCTCCGCACTGCTCTTCCGACCATGTGGCACGCTCCCGATGCTGATGTGGCCTTCCTCCCTGGTGTATGACGTCCACAGTGGAGCCAAGGCGTGTCAAGCTGTACATGCACAGACATCCTTTTTGGGAGTTGCGCTGATGGCAAAGCATGGGGCTGGCAGCATCAGGACCCGCGGGCAGCCGGTTTTCTCCTCCATGGGCTTATTGAATGGATGGGAAAGATGGCTCCATATGTTTTCAGTGGGATCGTCTTGTGCACGGAGAACGAGGCCAGGTTCTCTGTGACTGCACCCTTGCTTGGCACACAGGTTTGATTTTTCTCCTCTTGTCCCTACAGCCTGGAGGGCCTGCAGAGAAGACCCAAAAACACCGAGAGAGCATGGTGAGCTGGCAGTGCGGGGTTGCTGACCCACAGGCCTGGGGCCCCCGTCTTGCCGATCTGGGGTCCTAATTCTAGCCTCCAGGTTTACTAAGAAGGGCTTTGGTCTGATCCTTTCCCCGGTGGCCAATACTTTGAGGTTTCCTGCCTTTGGTGCAGTCTTTAGTCATTCTGAAGGGCCAAAATGCTTAGCCTTGTTTGTTTGTTTAAAACTTTTGTACCCTGTTCTATACACAAAAGTCTCAAGATGATCCAACAACAAAGATACAGCATATCTGATAAAAGCCCAACTAAAATAGAAGTTAAATCTTAAAATAATGGGAAGATAAAAAGGTTCCTGGCAGCAAAGTGCTTTAAGCTAAACTAGTCTGGTGCTTTGGGGATTTTGGCGCTACCCCTTTTGCCTCTGACCACGTCCACCACCGGAATGCAGCCCCCCCAAAGCTTCTCTGAATTTAATTTAGCCCTCGGCTGGACGTGTTTGGGCACCCCTGCTGTGGAGGCATTTCCCAAGGTGACATAACATCGATTAGTTATCCTCCATGAAAAGTTTTCACCACTTGCCAGCAAGAAAATGAAAAGCACACCAGGCAAAAGTGTCCGAAAAGGGAATTCCACCAATGGGAGAGGGCAGGGCCCAAGACTGAAGAGGTCCTGTTTCTGATCACCACTCGCTTGACTTCAGATATTGGGCGAAGTGAACAATGGGCTCTGAGGGTGATTTGGAGGGGCCGCCTCCAGCTCATGTGGAAGCCGGTAGCCCAGTGGCTTCAGGTTTTTAGATTACCAGCTTTCAGTTGTGCTCAGTGATTGATTGATTGATTGGTGGGTGGTGCAGCTGTTTCAAAACAGAGAGAGAGAAAGAGGGAGAGGCGATCCTGACAGAGTTTTGCTGGCACTTGGCATGTGCAGGTTCCAGTCTGGACCAGTCAGTGGTGCTGAGCCTAACCGCTCTCACAGGGCTGAGGTCAGGGTAAAAATGGAGGCTCGAGTGCGAAGGGGTCGAGTAGAAATTCTACCTCTAGATAGTTTGGACTTCAGCTCCCGGCAGCCCCTGCCAAAATGGCAAAGGACAAGAATGCTGGGAATTGAAGCCCAAAGCAGCTGGAGATCTACTTTCCTGAACACCCCTGCTTGAAAGGGAACATAATACTTGGAGGAGGGAAATGTCTTTGGAAGCGCCTGCTTTCTGTAGTTTTGTGCCACATCACGGCTTCATGGCCCATAAGGGCGGTTCCTTGAGTCCTTGATGGCCCCTGTTGCTTGGCCCCTGGGTGGAGCAGGCTGAAGGAGAAGAAGGTGATAGATGTCTCCGTTTCACAGCGCCCCCTGGAGTCAGGGCATCACAGTAGTGGCAGCTGCAGATCCAGGGAAGGCTTGTGATGGCAGATTTGGAGTGGGGAAGGGATGCAAGGATGGAGAAACAGATTAGGCAGGATACGGAGAGGCTCTTGCCAAAGCCCCCAACCCCACCCCCCTCGCAGAGATGAGCCAAAAGGGCTTTACCCGTAACTGCATTTCTCTCTCTCTCCTCTCTAGTCGGGGGGGCCGCCACCCTCACAGCCCCACAAACGCCGGGAAAGCACGGTAAGATCCTAGAGGCCTCTACTGTAGATGAGCAAACATTAAGTAGGGTGCTTTCAGGTTTAGGGCATGATGGTTGTACTTTAGCTTCTTGGTAGGAGTTTCAACCTGGGGTAATTGGGCTGGGGGAGAAACAGATCATTTTGAGTCATTGTGGAAGAGCTATGGAGGAGGAGGCTAGAGCAAATGTAGGGGTTTTGGAAGAAAGTGGTCGGGACGCAGGAGGAGCAAATGCAGTCCTCATTACGTGGCTGGACAGGAGGGGTTTCATTCTGGTGTTGCCGACTTTCCTTTGATCCTCTGTTAAACGCTGCGTCCCCCTGGTATTATTCCTGCCTGTGTTCATGCGCATGTGTCGTTTCACGGCTGTGTTGCACAGATCTTTGTAACTCATGTTGCAAATGGGCTGTTTAAGATGGGCCGTGAGCCACTTCAAGAAGCTTTTTGGCAGGCAAAGGGGAAAAGATGTCTCCAAACTGCCAAACACAGAAACATCCGGGCCAAATAGGGCAAAGCGCTCGCTGAACATGGGGCAGCAGAAATCGATGGCAAGCCTGTTGTGGCAGCTCTACTCAGCTTTCTGCAACCTGGTGCCCTCCAGAGGAGTTGGACTGGAACTCCCTCCTCCCCAGTGACTACTTTAAACCCTTTCACAGTCATGCTGGAAATCCTGAAGATGGGAGGATTTGCACCAGCCAGAAGCTCCTTGATTTAAAATATCCTGCAGAGATGTAGATTGAAGCAGGAAAATTGGGTGGTGGCAGTGCAATCATGTACGTCTACTCAGAAGCAAGCCCCATTAAGTTTGTTGGGGTTACTCCCAACTGCTTAACTGGATAACAGGACTGCAACCTGAAGGAACAATTTGCCATAGTTTAAGGGAAAATCCAGCTTGAGATACCCCAAAGAGGAGGGATGATACACATGGGCTCTCCAGAGGTTTAGGACTACAGCTCCCATCTACCCTAATCGGGAGATGGGAGTTGTAGTCCACGATAGAGGGCACCAGCTTGAGGAAGGTTGCTCTAGAGACTGGTGCAGGACTGGGGAGTTCAAGTGCCAATACATATCTGAGAAAACATGGACGGCCTCAGCAGCTGCTATTCCATGCCAGGCTTTGAAGCAACCTCTGACCCAACCCCAGACAGAAGAATCCTGAAAAGGTTTCATTTCTGACCTCATACTTCTCCTTCCTTGTGCATTCTCTTTTCTTATCTGCTTCTCCACCTTGTAGTTGGGAGGTCCTATACACCTGAGCCAAAAGCGCAAGGAGAGTTTGGTAAGACCCTCTGGATTAGAGGCACAGATCACACCCAAGATCATTTGTGATTGAAGAGAAACCCTCCCACGCTGGTGCCTCTGCATGACACGTCGTCACCTGCATTGGTCCGTGTGAGGCCTCGGTACACCTTCAGCACAACATACCTTGACTCGGGCTGCCAACGGGGGAGCATTTCCTGATGGGCTTCGGGCAGCAAATTCACTCCCTTGTTTAGGGACTTTACAAGGCGGGAAGGGCATTTTTTCATATTCTTTTAAAATCTGCAAACATCCTGCTGAAGACAGGAAAACTAAGGAGTTGCACTAGAGTTTTGGAGGAGTAGCATTAGCGGAAGCCCTCCTTGGGCAGCATGAGAGGATGGGACAAACGCTGAAGGAGGAAGTCACGGGGAGTAAAGCGATCAATGGTTGCTCGGCAGGCGGCTCTGTGCCACCCCCAGTACATGGAACGCCATGTCTGTGCACACCGGTTCCTGGGCAACAGGGCTGGAAGGGTGCTGGCGCACTCAAGTCCGACTTGTAGATTTATTTCTCCTGGGCAGCAGGTTGCCCACATGTGAGCGAAATGCTGGACTAGAGGGACCCATCGTCTGACCCAGCAAGGCTGCTCTGGACACCTCCATGTTGCCTCCTTCGGGACGCAGGCATCATTTCTGACCACCTCCAGTTACAGGAGGGAGGAAATCGCCAGCAAGTCTCTACGGCAAGTTGCAGAGACCTTCGGCCACATTTCTGTCTTTGCTCAACTCCCAATGTACATCAACAACCTCACATGACCCGGTGCCCGCTAAATGCTTCGGACTCCAGCTTTGCTGCTCTTGGATAATGTGGCCAATGATCAGGAATTGTGGTCTATGGGTGCACTCCCATGCATGTTCAGACCAAAAGCCCTCCGGCGCCCAGCTGGAGAATGCTGGGAAATACAGGACTTTCTCTAAGCACACATAGGGTTTCATGTCCATCTTTATCATCACACAATAATTGGTTGTCGCCCCCTGTGGAAGTTACAAGAAAAACACATGTACAGCATAAAGCTCTTTCCCAGTTCCTCATGGGTGGAATTCCCACAACCTGGCGCCCTTCACATTTTTAGAACAAAATCTGAACCATAGTATTTTACTAATGGGATTCTGTTAGGATCCTGGATGTTTCTGAACTGACCATTTGTTTCATACTACCAACAGCGCCCTGGAAAACCAGGAGAGTGAGAAGAGAGAAGCCCACAGCCAGGACTTCAAAGTCTGCCTATCCTGGGAAAACAGCAAACCAGCAGAAAAAGCCAGAAGGATGCAGTGCTCAGTGGGTGACAAAGGAGGCTAAATCACTGAACGCTGGCAGTGTGGTTAGCATAGTTTCTGTGTTTAAAGAAGCTGCATTCAGGCATCTCATATGACTAAACTACCATATTATTTTAATCTGGCCTTCTTCTGACTTGATTACTGTTTCTGTTACTCTTTTAGTGATTTTTTTTTGGATTTAATTGCTCTTATTTTCCTGTTGGTTTTCTGTGCTTCACTGTTATACATTGCTTTGGGAGGTCTTCTTCCCTGAAAGGTGGCTAAGAAATGATTTTCAGGATAACTGTGCCATTCTGTCAAAGCAGTGCAGAGACTCTGTTCCTTTGGTTTGACCTCTTTGACATATCTAAAAGGGATCTGTTTTCCCTTCCATTCCTGTGTGCTTTTCTGAGGGCCTTCTGAACTCTGGTTGTAACCCAGAAAACATAACCCAGATCAAAGGTGGTGAAACCTCTTTTACCCAGAAAGGGCTGAATTAGTTGTGGGAGCTACATTATGGGGTGGATGGGCCAAAGTGCAAAATGTGCCAGCATATTTTGACTTAGAGCTTTATTAAGCCTTTGGAGAGACACTTCACCTTTCAGAACAGGGAAAAACACAAACTCAGAAGTCAGGAAACCACCAAAAATGCAGTAAGGTAAAAGGAGATGGGAGCAGAACAAGGAGTGTGGAAATCTGGGATTCCAAGATTTGGCCCACAGCCCTGAGGTTTCAACAGCTCTGCAAACATTGTGGTTTGACTAATAGTCACTTTTTCCTCTGGACACCTCCCCCCTTTTTAAATTACTGTGCCAGCTTGGCTGATGAAGGATACTGGAGCACTCAAAAGCCTGCACGGTATTTAGTAACATTTAATTGGCCTAATAAAGGTATCACCCAATTATGGATCCTGGCATGTTATAATCTTTGAAACCAGTAGAGGGCAGTAATGTCACATTAGTCAGCAGCTCACTGCTCCTAAAGATTGATTCTCTCCCCTTTAATTGGATGGTACCCTTGACATTTCTTTTATTTATTGGTGAGGGGACAGCTCAGATCTGGATAGTCCAGTAAAATGGCCTTCTCCAACCTGGTGGTTGGGAATAATGGGATTTGTAGTCCAACATATCTAGAGGCAGGCTGGCAAGTAGAGGTTTCTTTTTACCATGTCTCCAGCTATCTTTTTGTTGATGAGTGATGGGACTCCCTCAGGGGACAACTTCATATTAAACCCTCTTGAGCTTACTCAAGGATATATGGCAGGAATTGACTATAGTATTATTTATTTCAAGGTATCTATCCTATATTTTGCTTATGGCTCAAGACTCTTGACAATTAAAAGTAATGGAGCACTGTTATTTTAAAATGCAAGAGACAGCCAGTTTATACACAGGTATCATGCAAAATAAATGAACCAAAGAACAATTAAAACCATTACTTGATTTGATAAAAAGGCAGGGCATTAATACTATAAAAGACAAATCGTAGTCCATTATAAGAATGAGAACAACTAACATTCAACTCCAAAGCTGGCAGCAGGTGTACATGTCTGCAGATTGTATTCCATCATTTGGGTGCCAACACTGAAAAGTCCCTTGTTCTGCTAAGGGGGACAGACCTCCTGCCAAATTCTTTATTGTCATGCAAATTCATGTGGAAAAGGGCAATCCTTTAGACAACCATGTCACAGTACTTTTGGGATTCCAGGACCCAAAATCAGGACCTTGAATCCAGCCTGGAAACAGATCATTAGCTGCTGAACCTTGGGTACGACCTGCATAACATGCAGAGTTCCATCATTTCTAAGTAGGAGTGCCAAACTTCACTTGTGGTGAAACCGCCTCCAGAGCCACCTTCAGGGGTGGGTGGAGCCAAAGACAAGGCAATTAAATCTTTGGAGAGGGATTTCAGCTTCTTGAGAGGACAGGATACTTGCACAAAAGCCAAGGAACTGCCAGACGGTTAGGGGAAAAGGGGTGGAACCAGATAAAGGAGGCATCTAGGGAAAGAAACCTGGGGGTGGATTTAATCCTAAATCCCCAACCCTCTGGCTAAGATGGAATGAAGCAATAACATGGGTGCAGCCTGGCTCCACACACCCATTCACGCCATCTGATCCACCGCAGGCCTGTTGGAGGCGATTCAGCTCCCAGCAACAATACCGCTTGTTTGAAGGGCTGTACAGAGGAGAGCAGCTTTCCCAGATGCGTTGTCAGTGTTTTGGACCACAGCGCTCAGGCCTCCTGCCACTGGGTGGGGCTGATAGGAGTTGGCCCCAAGGATCTGGAGGGCATCAGACTGGGGAAGGCTGTACTCGCGCCTTGTGCAACACCATCGCAACTGCGGCAGCCTCAGTGATAATGTGTCATTTTTCATGTCAGCAACATAGTAAACACGCCTCCCCACCCCCCGCCCACACTTGCAGCTAAATTAAGCAAATAGGTTCAGAAACCTTGGCAAATCGACCAGTCGATCTCCACCTCCCTTACACCCATCCCGGTGCCCAGGATCCGTGCCGGAGCATGGACCTCGTCACCAGACTTGTTTAGCACTAAACGCGGAAGAGGCAGCAACGTTCCATCCCACTTCCATCAGAACGAGGCCTGTTACGAATACGTGTTTATACGCCCAGACGCGTAAGATCAAAGGCTCCCCACCCCAAATTGCCAAAATGGGAGAACTGGGAGACTGACGAAGTCCCTGGTCGAGCTTTAAGAAATCGGAGAGCTACACTGGAAGTGGGATTTTTGGGAAACACCCCCCCCCCCCGCATCGCCCAATCTGCCTCTTTGTTCAGAACCCACGAGGTGGTCAAACAGGACCGCAGCTCCCGCCGCCCCTTTATCGCCTGGCTTCTAGGGGCTCGAGGCTGCCGGGGGCGGAGGAACCCATTTCCCCCAGATCCGCGTACTCAGCACGGTGCGTCGGCTGCCATCATGAGCTTCAACGCAGACAGCTCGAGCGTCGCCGCCGCCCAGAGGAGTCGACGGAGAAACCTCGACGAAAACCCTCCGCTGGCCGCTTTAAGCGAGAGCACCAAAGCGTGCGAGGAGGACCATTCCTGGGTCAATATTTACATGGCCCCGCCCACGCCCCGCGATGGGAGGGCGCGGTGAGGGCGGAGGCGCATGGAAGCCTTGCGCGGCGCGCGGGCTGCGGGGTGCTTCCCCTTTAAGATCAGAACCTCCGGTCTTGTTCCTCGCTTTGCAAAATGTATCAAATCCGGTGGGCGGGGACGGGCTGGGCTTGCGCGGGCCAATGAGAACGCGGGGTTTTCCGCGGGAGATCCGAATTTCGCGGCACGTAGTTTGGCGCTTAAAAAAAAAAAGCGAGAGAAGGAGGAACGGAAAGAGAAAGGGTTGGGCAGCCATCGGGTTCTCTCTTGCCCCAATCCGGATCCATCCTTGCCCCAGACAGCTCCGGCAGCGCCCGGGGACCTTGCAGCAGCCCAGCCGGGAGCCCCAAGGAGCAGCGGGCGCCAGCATTGCAAGTTTGAAGAGCTCCATACAAGGCGCCGGCAGGGCCCTAGCAGGATCCAGGGCCCGGGTTGGGTACTCAGGCTCTCCCCGGGTGGCTCTTCCGAAGTCCTCCACCCTTAGGATGTAGACACTAGGAAGGCGGAGCGGGGAGCTGCCGGAGCGAAATCTTCTGGCTGCCGTTTTGCAGGGAAAAAAAGAAAAGAAAAAAAGGCACCCCGGGCTTTTGTTTCCAGTCCTCCGGCTGCAGTTTCCCAGCCACAAAAGCTTGGAAGGGGGGGCTGGGGGAGGGGGATGTGCCAAGCCGATTTGTAGCCTTGCAGCCAAACTGCCTGGGAAGCCTCTTTTTCTCGCTTTTTTTAAATGCAAAGTTTGCGTGCTTTTTATTTTAAGTTCCCTGCAAAGCCTGCATCGGTTTTTTAAAAAGCAAAGAACTGGGGACATTCACCGGCTTCGGGGAGTTAAAAAAATGGGCTGGCCATCCTATGGCTCACACTTGGAGAAAAAGAGACTCTGAAGAGTTGCTTTGATGAAAAGGGACTGGGGGTTGCGTGAACCATTCTCCCCAGACTGCCCTATGCTGTCGCCTCGCTGCTTCCTTTTTTCATTTTTCAAGGGATGACTTTGTAATCCACCCCTTTCTTTTTTTAAGTTGTCTCGGGGTTGGGGATCCCTGTGAGCTTGCCAATGGCTGTTCTCAATGGCTAGGAGCCACCTTTCCAATCTACCTCTCAAGGCCGCTGCGAATCGTGATCACCGCTTGGTTTTTATGCTCCTCCTAGTCCTCCTTGGCCTTTTGAAGACATCTCGGCCATGTTGAGGCCCAAAGTAGGACCTTTGGCCCCTGGAAGAGGGGCCCCCTCACTGGCTCCCCCACAGCAGCAAAAGAAAGTCGTGCCTGTGATTAGTTCTGCAGATCTGGTGGCCACCAACCTCAGCAGCCCTCAAATGCGGGCCCTGCCAGCTACCTACTTCACTCAGGTGTACCCCCAGACTGCTGTGGTCGCCCCACTGCCTCGGGGCAGCTGCCTTTATGCCACCCCCCATGGACCTGAGGTCAAAACCATGCGATCTGCCTCCACGGGAAAATTGCCGGTAATCAATCAATCAATCAATCAATC